GGTGATCAATACATCACATATATTCACCTCAAGCTGGTCATCTCTAGTATGAAGTTGAATCTCATTTCGTTGTTCCAATTGTATGGCAGATGCTATTGTTGAGTTAGGTGGTATGATGAACTCCTTTTCTCCAGAATTGATTAGGAGTAAATGCATCTCTCCACTCTCAGAGCTACAACCTTCTATGACATGAACTTGGGGTTCAAGCGTTGTGATACCCTGAATAAGCCAGACCCTTGACTCTGTAGTTTCACTAATTTGAGAGGGCCTCATTACACAATCCATATGTTGTATAGTCCTTGCTGGCAATACTTCTTCCATTGCACCAGTAACCACTTCTCTTATATGTGCGTTGCCCACTTTCTCCAAGCCTAAGCAGTCTTTCACTAGCTGGAATTCTCCCCGAGCCTCCTCTGAGGGAAAAAGAGCTCGAAGTGCATTACATCCTAATAATATTGGGAAGTCTCTTTGTCTTTCCCCACAAGACTCCCACTGTACATTCAGAAATCCGACAGTGGCTTCTTGTCCCTTCACCAAAACGCGAGTTCGAACAAAGCCCTCTACTGGTACCTTCGTTGGACCGACCCCAACAATTTTTACTGGTAAATCAAACGGGTTCACTTCTCCTACTGCTGCTTCTAGCTGTGAGTGGAACACATCCGAGGGTATTATTGAAGCTTCTGCCCCAGTGTCAAGGACACAGCCAATTTTCACTCCAGCAACTTCTGCCATAGCGGTCGGGCTTTCGGACACTAACCCTGCAGTGTTCTTCATCTCCTCAAACGTTGTCGCAACCTCTGCCACTGAAGTCTGTCTACTGTGGGTCAAACTCAATTCTGCATCATCCTTTCCAGTATCAGTTAAGGACATACCAAATTTTGGGTTTGGGGTGATTTCCTCCATGGGCTCTTCTGTGTTACACCGTTGTCTAATGTCCTCCGCTGTTTTGCCCTCAACAACAGAGGAAACTAGTTTTCCTCTTGTGGCGGAGCATGTTGGTGATGGATGGTGGTAATTGGTTGGGGTGGAGCTTGATAGTGTGTTGCCGGTATGTTGAAATGCTCTTGGCTCCTTGTTCCCTGTTCCATACTCCAAGCAGGGAAGTTTTGATTATCCTGGTTTCTAGGGCCAGTGGGGAAGTTGTACTGAGGCATTGGAAAGTTTGGAGGCACGTTGGGACAGTCTCGCCTGAAATGTCCCCCTGGCCACAGCCATAGCATGCTCCATCTGTCTTCCTTCTCTGCAAAGGTCTCGCTCTTTTCAGCCTGGCTACTTCATCTCGAAGATGCTCTAGTTCTGTCATCATTGCTTTCTGCTGTCCAACCATCTGTTGCATGAGGGGTGTTGAATCATTACTGACTACCCTTCCCACCTCAACATCTACTTCTCGCACTCTGGGCCTCTGGGTAGTGGGGGTGTCTTGAAAGAGTTGGAGAGCCTCCTCCCTTACTTTGAGGAACCCGCTGGATTCATGTGTCAACTGAATTCGCCTAAGCTCTCTCCTCACCCAAGCCTCACGTGCCCCATTGACGAACTGATCACTCAAAGCCTTATCTTTCAGTTGGCTCAGCGCTTCTCCTTGAGCTTGTGTGGTAGCTGCTTTTTCCATCTTGTTATAAGTGCGTAGCAGGACACGGCTGAAATCACAAAGCGATTCTCCCTCCTTTTGAACACGGTTGTGGAACTTGCTACTAAGGGTCTGCGTGGTCTCTTGATAGCCAAAGCATAATTTGAGGCAACCTACAATTTCATCAATATCACCCCTCTTTGATTCACTGAGACACAAAATTTCCTCTCGCGCTGGTCCTGCGAGGTGATCCACAAGAAGTCGAGCCTTGCTACTTATTTCCATATTGTGGTGGGCCGTGATCTCATTAAATTCCTAAAGCCATTCTGACAATGAGACATCACTCGCGTGTTGCGGTAGCCCTCGAAATTTTGGCAAGTTACTCTGAAGAATGCTCTGTAGCCCGATGGATCGACGGAAAAATTGGGACATCATATCCATTTCAGATGATTGCTCTCTGGATGTTGTTGGAGTTGTTGGCGGGGAAGTTTTTGTAGTGGGTGCAGTTGGCGTGATAGTTGCTGTTGTTGTTGTAGTTGTTGAGGTAGTCGTAGTGGTAGTCATTTTCCTGTACTGAGGTTTCCAAGTGCTTTTTCATGCATAAAGATTAACAGAAAAATATTATTGATGCATCAACTAAATCAAAACATACATGAGCATAAAGATAACTATCAAGTATCTGACCGAGGCTGTTTTAACACAAAACCAGTCTAAAGTTCATGTTCTGTCACTCTGATATGATGTTGCTATCACCGATGCCACGGAGAGGGTGAGTCTGGTATGGACTGCTAAATCGTCTTGGATTGTCCCTCGCTGTCAGTCATATCCCACTTCTGACACCATTGAAAGGGTTCGAGATCATGACGACCAAATAATGCATCCGGAGTCAGTGAAGTAGAGTCTGTACTTTATTGTTTTCTCTTCGTTAAACAGCCTCGGCCAATACTAGCCAAAACGCTAAACAACAGTGACCGTATGCATGCTACCAAGTATCATATCCACAGCAGACTTTAAACAAAGTCTGATCACATTTCCTCCTACAGCAGGCCAAATGTACAAGTGCTTGCAGTCCTATCACATAGCTTAGAATCGCTACCTGCCTGCTATAGCATGCACCAATGCTAGCAATCACACAAAAGAAATCCACTCATGCAAAGAGTTCAATAGAGATACCCCCAAAAAAGGCGGGAAACAGTACAATGGGAACCCCTCTAGAGGGGAAACAATACATTGGGAATCCCTCTAAAGGGGAAACAATTTGTCATTGACTGAAGAAGCAAGGGGGGGGCATCTTTGCACCACATAATTTCTATTTAATTTACAACATAAATTCCAATTTACAACACATATGTATTTAAGATTTCCATTAAGAAGGTAAACAAGTAATTCTTACTTTCTAAATTAACAATTTTAAGTACACCATTCTTAAATTCCACGCTTTTGGAGCAGTTTGGTCCTTAACAATAAATGTGAAATTCGTTATTTATTTTAGTATATTTTCTCTACTTTCAGTCGTGGTCTGTTCTGCGGACATCCCGTGTATGAACACAGGTACCTGTGACAACAATGTATGTACATGTGCTTCGGGGTATTATGGAGCTACATGCGCTGACACAAGTAAGATATTTATAGATTAATATTCAGTTTTTATATAGCGTAAATTACATTTGAGTCTCTAAGCACTATGGAAATAGAAGAAAATCAAGAAGTGAGTACTGAAGAAATGAAATAATAAGAACATAATAGCACGGTAAATATCCAAACTAAAAACTACATTGTATTGCATAAAGAATGGTACGAAATAAACCCTGAAAAAGGTGAGACTGCCAAGTGATTTTTTTCTTTTCTTCGAATAATCTTTGCTCACATACGAAAACCAAGTGCATATTGTCACAAGGCGGGAATCGAGAAACACCTTAGACTGGGATCTTATTAATTCACACAGATAATAATATTAGGTTAAATGAACCTTTATTAATGTAAGCTATTCTTGAAACTGTCTGACCTGTGACTGCACTCATCCTTTTCCTTCACCTGATATGTGAATAAAGCTATCTTGTCAGGGGTTATCCCAACAACTCTTACACAGTACGACTGTGATATTTGACCAGCGTACGCCTTCTTACCTTACAGGAAATACTCCGACAACCTTACCGGAAGTGGATACACGTGGATACACCTCTGGAGTTTGATGAAATTAACAATACAAATTCCAATCATTTATTTTGAATATAAGATTTTTTACCAAGCGTGACTGTTCTCACAAATAGTCACTTGTTATTTTCCTTCTCAGTAAATGTGCAAGATTAGTTTGGAATGATTTCTCTCTTCTTTGTAGTCGACTGTGCAGGTGGTGACAACCCGTGTCTGAACCAAGGTACATGTGTAACTGGTACCAATACATGTACATGTGCTGATGGATTTACAGGATCTGTGTGTGACAGAGGTATGTAAATATATCATTCTCACTGGCTTAATAAAGAGATTGGGTCCAGAGAGATTGACGGAAGAAAAGAAGAGAAAAGAAAGTGATAATTCATTTAAGCCCAAAGAGAAGAAGAGAGGAAAAAGAGGAAGCGATAGAGAGAAAAAAATGAATGATTGAAAAAAAGAAATCGCTACCCTGTGTAACGGGTCGGTAACGTATTGGATGACATGTACATGTGCTTCGGGATTTAATGGAGCTTTTGTGTAGTACATGTATTAAAGGTACTATGTCCCGTTTGCAGTCAAAAAAAAATGAAAAGGTGAAATTCCACCGGCAGTTGAAAGTAAATACTAATTTAGAACTTCCCTAAAAAAAAGGGGGCTTCAAAATGTCTTGAAGTGGGAAAACAACGACTAGTTGTCGAATCGACTTAAGAGCTATAGAGCCAGTAAGTAATAGTCTGATTTTCAGACCATTGTACCGAATGGTCGTACGTTTGATGCTGCGCAAAGATTCAATCAGTTTAATTGTGGCCATTACAAGAAGTGGGTTTGGGATGTAGACAAATGCTCATGTACCCGTTACAGCTCATTTTATGTATGTTTACCAAAGCAGTATAAAAAAAAAGCCAGTCAGTCACTCCATAGTGTGGACAGTGAAGTCTAGCGAGTAAACGGGTTTCTTTGCATAATTTTATCATTAGGACTCTGCTAACGTTTAAATTTCACAGATAGGACATTCATAAAATATTCCTAAAATCTGCAAAGTTCTACAGAATTTGATGTTGGCTGCAAAAAAGGGCATATTATCTTCAAAACCCAATGTATCATAATTTTGATCCCCGTAGAAATTAACATAAATGTTTTGTTTCAATAAGGTTCTAGTACATGTACTAGACAAAGCTCCATTAAACCCCGAAGCACATGTACATGTCCGCGGTTAAAGTCCCTCCGCGGCACTAATGTCCTTTGGCAAGACTTAATAATTGAAACTCAATTTGCACAGATATCGACGAATGTGCTTCCACTCCGTGTATGGCTAATGAAGATTGTACCAATGGAGTGAACATGTATACATGTGCGTGCTCTGCTGGTTATGCTGGGACTCCATGTGCAGGTAAGCTATCAAGTCAAAGCAGATTACATACAAACACCTATTACATAAAGCAAAATAATGCTCCTTTCTCATCAAAACCTTATAGATACCTAGGCTTTCATGCTTAGTATCAGAGTCAAATCCAACTTACGGTTTGCATCTCCACTCGATCAACAGTGAAAAGTCACAATGTTAATTTATTTTGCGGCCTTTTTTTATTTGATTACCGGCGACGGCTACTTACTAATTTGTTTTGAATATAAACCTTTCAGTGAAACAAATGTTTAAGTATTTGACTGTAAATATATTTCGATGTTCAATGACATTGTAATCCATACCAAGTGTTGTTATCTAGTCTTCAAACACCGTGTTGTTGTTGTCCAAAACACTGTGTTTCTTCACAATATCCAGACTAGAATATAGTTTTATTTTTTTCACCTGACGACTGAACATTAATATTCCCATTACAAAAATAATAGAAAACGCATTAAACATTAAAAGAGATATTTAGTTCATTTACTTCGTTTAATTTATGTATTGTTGTAGTTTTACGAATGAGGTTGTCAATTCATTAACTGTCTTATTTAAAATGCCAGTTTTAAATTAATTTTCCTATCCGACAAAAAAAGATAAAGTGGTCAAAAGTGAAATTGTTTTCTAGTCGCTCTTATTCCAATGATTATCACTGAAACTCAATTTGCGCAGATATCGACGAATGTGCTTCCACTCCGTGTATGGCTAATGAAGATTGTACCAATGGATTGAACATGTATACCTGTGCGTGCTCTGCTGGTTATGCTGGGACTCCGTGTGCAGGTAAGCTATCAAGTCAAAGCAGATTACATACAAACACCTATTACATACAGCAAATGCTCCTTTCTCATCAAGACATTATAGATACCTAGGCTTTCATGCTTCGTATCAGAGTCAAATTCAACTCACGGTTTGCATCTCCACTCGATCAACAGTGAAAAGTCACACTGTTAATTGATTTTAATGGCCTTTTTTTTTAGTTGACCCAGCGACGGCCTGACGTAAAAAGTTAATGAATCAGTTTATCTTCCCAAATTACAAAAGTGCGAATCAAGCTACAGTGTCGAACATAAATGAGAAGGTTGACAAATTGTTAGGCTACCCCGGGTCCTATCGCTAAAAATAGTCCATTAAGTCACAAAATTATTTGTCCCTCTTTCGTTTATAATACAATATGGCGCTATTCAATGAAATCAGCACTATTATTCCGGCCCCTTGATTTGTATGAGACAAGTCGCTGAAAACGTACTCTTAACTACAATTTATAATCACTGTACATCCATAACTTTATGAACAATTTTGAAAAATGAACACTTATTTTCGTTTATTGCAACAAACGTGCAAAACAAAGCTTTCATTCTTATTATACGATACTTTTAAAATTGATGGTACTCGCTAATTAGTTTTGAATAGATACCCTTTCAGTGAAACAAGATTAGTAGGTGACTGTTTACTATGTTTCGATGTTCAATGATATTGTAATACATACCAAGTATTCGTTATCAAGTCTCCAAACACCGTGTTGATGTTGTCCAAAACACTGTGTTTCTTCACAATATCCAGACTAGAATATAGTTTTGTTTCACCTGACGACTGAACATTAATATTCCTATTACAAAATAGAGAACACATTAAACATTATTTTAAAGAGATAGTTAGTTCATGTTATGAAAAGAATATCCTATCTCTTCAGAACACCCACCTGTTACAAGCCATATATGCAACAACAACAAAATCATATGTATTTGAGATAGAAAATATGCGATAATCCTATGAATAAAGAACCTACATTGATGACATATATCGTGACTTTAACCTTTAATAACTATTGCATGGTCTTTATTGTAATTTACCCCCCCCCCTCCCACCCCTCCCCCAAGATTTCCATTAAGAAGGTAAACAAGTAATTCTTACTTTCTAAATTAACAATTTTAAGTACACCATTCTTAAATTCCACGCTTTTGGAGCAGTTTGGTCCTTAACAATAAATGTGAAATTCGTTATTTATTTTAGTATATTTTCTCTACTTTCAGTCGTGGTCTGTTCTGCGGACATCCCGTGTATGAACACAGGTACCTGTGACAACAATGTATGTACATGTGCTTCGGGGTATTATGGAGCTACATGCGCTGACACAAGTAAGATATTTATAGATTAATATTCAGTTTTTATATAGCGTAAATTACATTTGAGTCTCTAAGCACTATGGAAATAGAAGAAAATCAAGAAGTGAGTACTGAAGAAATGAAATAATAAGAACATAATAGCACGGTAAATATCCAAACTAAAAACTACATTGTATTGCATAAAGAATGGTACGAAATAAACCCTGAAAAAGGTGAGACTGCCAAGTGATTTTTTTCTTTTCTTCGAATAATCTTTGCTCACATACGAAAACCAAGTGCATATTGTCACAAGGCGGGAATCGAGAAACACCTTAGACTGGAATCTTATTAATTCACACAGATAATAATATTAGGTTAAATGAACCTTTATTAATGTAAGCTATTCTTGAAACTGTCTGACCTGTGACTGCACTCATCCTTTTCCTTCACCTGATATGTGAATAAAGCTATCTTGTCAGGGGTAATCCCAACAACTCTTACACAGTACGACTGTGATATTTGACCAGCGTACGCCGTCTTACCTTACAGGAAATACTCCGACAACCTTACCGGAAGTGGATACGGGTGAAGCTTTTCTTCACACACCTAATCGGAGATGAAGGTAGCCCATTCAATGTGTAAAAATTGCCAATTTGATAAGTGTAAGGATCGCATTGTACACGTACAACCGCTATACTACACACACGCAATATATTCTTTGTGTATTGTATCCATCAGGCATGATCAGTGCAACGATGGCTGGCTACCAATTAAAATAGGCATGGTGGTCGGATATAATGAGAGTAGATGATGGAGGGGGGGGGGGTAAAGCGCAGTACTTAAGGGCAAATCAAAGAATTATACTACGACCTCACCTCATTTATGTTAGAAATTAAAACGTTATTATCTTCTTTCGAATTGCAATATATCCCCGCACCATAATTATAAGCATGTCATGCATATGCCTTTTCTCTGCGAAAGGGGGCATTGACTCTTTAAATACCAAATCACATAATCTATTCACCATTATATGTCACCGTCATGTACATATTTTCTATGGATATAATTTTTCACGATCTCAACTCTTTACCACATTAGCGTCATGTACATTGTCGATGGATAAAGTGGAATATTAACTCTTCACCACCCTACGCTAACTTTTCACCACCCTAGCGTCATGTACATTGTCAATTATGGATAAAGTGGAATATTAACTCTTCACCACCCTACGCTAACTTTTCACCACCCTTCCGTCATGTACATTGTCTATGGATAAGCTGGAATATTAACTCTTCACCACCCTACGCTAACTATTCACCACCCTACCGTCATGTACATTGTCTATGGATAAGCTGGAATATAAACTCTTCACCACCCTACGCTAACTTTTCACCACCCTAGCGCCATGTACATTGTCTATGAATAAGCTGGAATATAAACTCTTCACCACCCTACGCTAACTTTTCACCACCCTAGCGTCATGTACATTATCTATGGATAAGCTGGAATATAAACTCTTCACCACCTTACGCTAACTCTTCACCACCCTACGCTAACTTTTCACCACCCTAGCGTCATGTACATTGTCTATGGATAAGCTGGAATATTAACTCTTCACCACCCTACGCTAACTTTTCACCACCCTAGCGCCATGTACATTGTCTATGGATAAACTGGAATATTAACTCTTCACCACCCTACGCTAACTTTTCACCACCCTAGCGCCATGTACATTGTCTATGGATAAGCTGGAATATTAACTCTTCACCACCCTACGCTAACTTTTCACCACCCTAGCGTCATGTACATTGTCTATGGATAAGCTGGAATATTAACTCTTCACCACCCTACGCTAACTTTTCACCACCCTAGCGTCATGTACATTATCTATGGATAAGCTGGAATATAAACTCTTCACCACCCTACGCTAACTTTTCACCACCCTAGCGCCATGTACATTGTCTATGGATAAGCTGGAATATAAACTCTTCACCACCCTACGCTAACTTTTCACCACCCTAGCGCCATGTACATTGTCTATGGATAAGCTGGAATATTAACTCTTCACCACCCTACGCTAACTTTTCACCACCCTAGCGCCATGTACATTGTCTATGGATAAGCTGGAATATTAACTCTTCACCACCCTACGCTAACTTTTCACCACCCTTCCGTTATGTACATTGTCTATGGATAAGCTGGAACATTAACTCCTTACCACCCTACGCTAACTTTTCACCACCCTAGCGTCATGTACATTGTCTAAGGATAAGCTGGAATATTAACTCTTCACCACCCTACGCTAACTTTTCACCACCCTTCCGTTATGTACATTGTCTATGGATAAGCTGGAACATTAACTCTTCACCACCCTACGCTAACTTTTCACCACCCTAGCGTCATGTACATTGTCTATGGATAAGCTGGAATATTAACTCTTCACCACCCTACGCTAACTTTTCACCACCCTTCCGTTATGTACATTGTCTATGGATAAGCTGGAACATTAACTCCTTACCACCCTACGCTAACTTTTCACCACCCTAGCGTCATGTACATTGTCTAAGGATAAGCTGGAATATTAACTCTTCACCACCCTACGCTAACTTTTCACCACCCTTCCGTTATGTACATTGTCTATGGATAAGCTGGAACATTAACTCTTCACCACCCTACGCTAACTTTTCACCACCCTAGCGTCATGTACATTGTCTATGGATAAGCTGGAATATTAACTCTTCACCACCCTACGCTAACTTTTCACCACCCTAGCGCCATGTACATTGTCTATGGATAAGCTGGAATATTAACTCTTCACCACCCTACGCTAACTTTTCACCACCCTAGCGCCATGTACATTGTCTATGGATAAGCTGGAATATTAACTCTTCACCACCCTACGGTCATGTACATTGTCTATGGATAAACTGGAATATTTATTTTTTTTACCATCCAATTACAATACAGTTTATTGAAGTTAAAACGGTATTATGTCCTATGTGCAGGCCAAAAATAATGACGAGGTTAAATTCCAACGTAATTTGAATGATAATAACAATTTAGAACTTCCCTCAAAACCAAAAGGTTTGAAAATGTCTTTTTGTGAGAAAATAATGATCATTAGTTGTCGAATTGAATTTAGCTAGCACGCTCGTTTAATTAGTCTGATTTTTACATAATAGACAAATGTACATTTAGTACATGTAGAGAGGCGCGGATCCAGGGGGGGCGAGCGGGCCTTGCCCCCCCCCCCCCCCCCCGAAAAAAAGGAGAGAAAGAAAAGGAAAAGAAGGGAAAGGGAAAGAGGAGAAAAAGGGAAAAAAGAGGAAGAAGAAAAGAAAAGAGGGAAGAAGGAGATCGTGGGGGGGGGCAAAAGGAATTGCCTCCCAGGCTGCTGCCCCCTCCCCCAATCAAAAAATAAAAGAGAAGGAAGGAAAGGGAAAGAAAAAAAGGGAAAAATGAGATAAAGGGAAGGAAAAAAGAGGAAGAAGAAAAGAAAAGAAGGGGGATATCAGTTGCAATTTTTCCGATCGGGGGGGGGTGGAGGCAAAAGGCCCTTGCCCCCCCCCCCCCCCCCCCCGTCCCCGCGTTAAAAAAAAGAGAAGGAAGGAAAAGGAAAAGAGGAGAGCTAAAAGGGAACAAAAAAGAGGAAGAAGAAAAGAAAAGGGAGAAAAGAAG